GGTATGCATGCTCAGAGCTCTGGGACCTCACCTCTGAGCTCAGCTCCTCTTCATGTCCAGGACCAGGATGTGATGATTGGACAGAACGATCTTTCTGTAAATCAATGAATGGCTCAGTAAATTCCATGTTGCTAATTATTCTCTTACTTTTAATGTAATATTAATGCAAATAAATGAACTCCGAATCCTCTTAGTTAAGCAGGAAGTGTTATGCTGGAGGGTTTTAATGTACAGCGTGCACAACTGTCCCCCTCTAGTGGAGGTTCTGGGTACAACATCCCACCAAAACTCGTGTGCAGCTCTTCCTGTGTTGTGTTTGTGGGTCCTGTGGGGGGTGTTGCTGCGGAAGTTCTGCTAACCTTGCCAAATTCACTATCCGGCCGTCCTGAGTCCCTGTCGGAGGACTTGCCGCTGGTGAGGCTGTCCAAAGAGTGGCAGGAAGTGGCTTCAAACAGAGCTTCGTACGGGCTCTCCTCCTCGGGGTCGGGGGCGAACCCTGAGATCAGCTCGGTCACCCTCTCCAGTTCAGCTGTAAAACAAATCACAAATAAGAAAAGTTAAAACAACATTACTGTACCTGGATGGGAAAAAAACATGAACAATAAAAACATTGTCATTTTCCTTTCCAGTTAGAACCAGGGCCGACTTTTTCTCTCCCAGTAAAACCTGATCAGGATCTAAACATCTAACTAACACAGTGCCATGGCTCCTGTCTTCCACAGCCACTTAAATCAGTGGTTCTCAAATTGGGGACCCCGGACCCCTGCAGGTCCACAAGCTTGTAGGACCACCAAAATATAAAATAAAATAAATAAATAAATACATTTTCTTTTAACAAGCACATAGATGTTTAATAACCTGTTAAAATGCACCAAAATGCAGGAAATCGCATCTACTTTATTCAAAATTTTCTGGGGGAGGACGTCCCTCACCTGCAATTTGTGTTTTGGAATTGATCAGTTTACAAATTGATCCCAGTTACTGGTCTGACTACTGCTGTTCTGATTCTGTTCAGTTTTATGTAGAGTTTTCTGTAATAATTTGAAGAAGTGACAACACATTTATGTTCATTATGTGAATAGGTAAAGTTTTAAACTGATTTTTGATTCTGTTCATTTTCTCAAAACTGTAATGTTTGGAAGTTGAAATCATAAATGTTGTTAATTAAGTGCGTCTTGAATGAAAAATACTCCATGTTTAAAAGTATAAAGATTGTATTGACACTATTAAAGAACAGGTCTTAAGTATTTATGCTACACAAATATTCCCATTGCATTAAAGAGACATATTGAAGAAAACTATTTAAGGGTTATGAGGGGGGTCCCTGAACCCAAAAAGTTTGAGAACCCCTGATTCACGTTCACCTTTAAGACACATGCGGTCTTGCTCGTTTGGACTTATTTAAAGAACATTTGGTAAGTCTCACCCTTCTTTCTTGGGCTGGTACTCTCCTGGGGTGGAGGGATGGGTGGAGGTGGTAGGTCAATGGTGGGGGGTTTTCCAAACATGTGACCTGCAACAAGCACAAAGATTGTATCACTATAAAATCCAGCGGTACTTTCCCTGCAGCTCCCTGGAGTGCGTTTTGTTTTTACCATGAATAAGAGCAGCTATTTCTCTGCTTTTCTTAGAGGGCATGTCTTTGACAGTGTCCAGCGCTGTCAGGCCCTTCTGGTCGACGATGTTTACGTCGATTCCTGGCAAATAACGACAAGAAGTCAGTCCAGACAGAAGACCTGAGTGTGAGCCGCAACAGAGGTTCGTGCAGCGCTGAGCTCTGACCTGCACTGAGAAGTTTCTGCACAACGTCTCTCTTCCCAAACAGAGCCGCTTCGTGGAGGGCACTGCCTTTCTCTGTCTGCGCAGAAACAAACAAAAACAAATCCTAAACATAACGTCCAGAGTTTGAACAACGGAAGACCACACGTTCTAAATGTGACCCGCAAAAAGTGAAAACGCTAAGTCTTGTTTCAACTCCGACACTTGATAAACATAAATCCTTTGATAAACAGGGTTTGGCAACCACCGGATTTATGCCAGCTACACAGCCGGCAATTATGTGGCTGGGGAGGAAAAGTCAATTATTTTCCAGCTCACAGGGCCACGCTAATTAAAACCTGCAGGATGCAGGGCCTAAAGGATGCAGCACAGATCCCACATCCTCGATTCAAAGGAAAGCAGGCAGAAAGAGAGGAGCGTGCATCCAGACAGACGGGAGGCACAGTTTGATACAGAGACGGAGCCTAAGGGTCCACCAAGGTGGAGGTTAGCTACGTCTAATGTCAGAGCTTTGGTGAGGCGTAGGGGCAGGAAGTGCTGCAGGTGCAAAATAAGATAGCCATCATGATCTGAGCCACGACGGAAGTTTTCAGCTTAACACGCACCTCGTAGTTGATGTCCATGCCTGCGCCCAGAAGCACCTCCACCACAGGGAGGTGTCCGTTCCGAGAGGCCAGGTGGAGAGGCGTGTGTTTCTTGGTGTTGCAGTTGAGCAGGTTGGGGTGAGCGCTGAGCAGCAGCTTCACCACGTCCAGTCGGCCGTACAGCGCTGCCAGGTCCAGCGGCGTCTCGAACTTGTTGTTCCTCATGGTGGGGTCGGTCAGCTCCTCCAGCAGGAGGCGCACCACTCGGGTGTGGCCGTACTGGGAGGCGCAGTGCAGCGGCGTCTCGTTGTCGTTGTTCTGTTGGAGGCCAGTATGACTGGGTGAGACGCAGCCACGCACACACAAATACTGCAGGTACAGGGCGTATAATAAGGGATGTAACCAAACAAACAGTTTTATTAATGAACGAGTGAAGAGAGGTGAGAGAGCGAACCAGTGAGAGCAGAGAGCCCACCACAGTAGCAGGTTAAAAGGGTCATGAAAGAAGCCACACCACAACGAGACACACAGAAGGACGGGACAGGTCTGAGAGGAGGACCACACTGTGCAGGGACTAATGAGGACAAAGCTCCAGGGACTGCAGGGCGATGCACAAACAGGTGGCCATTGGTCCGATTAATTCAAGAAACTTTTGTTTTTGCTCATCGATTACTACAGTACAAGTACTTCCACAAACAGTAAATCCAAGTGAGTGAGGTATTTCCTGTGTAACTGGAGAAAGACTGCTGCAAACTGACAGAAAGGCTAAACTTGTTGCTTTACACAAAGTAGTGAGTTCTGGTCGAGGCGATGCAAAGTAGAGGCTATGGCTGCCTCAGTGGAGTCGACGGGGGAGAGGGTGGGCCCCAGAAACCATCTTATCACCAGCAAACTGGTTGGTCCACTATGGGAGTGTGCTGCTTGAGTTTGTTTGCGGCTCCTCGGACTGATGAAGTCCTTTGGATGAAGGACGAAACGTCTCAACAAACAAACAAAGAAACCACTCAGATGACCTGACTGAACTTTGTTGGAAAGTAGTGTCTTCTCTTATTTCTTGTTGATTTTTTTAAATGCATTGATTGTTAAGTCAATTAAATCTAACCAATGACTTATGAATCTAGTAACCTGTTGTTATTATTATTAACCTATTCATTTTTCAACCAATTAATCAGCTGATGTTTGCCAATTCTGTGTTTTTAAAGTCAGCAGGCTTTGGCGGCCATCTTGAAATGGGCTGGCTCCAAAAATTAACCAGTTCTTGATGAACATTCAGTGATTATTTTCTATAAGCTTTATTAATATACTCCAGTGGTTTGTGTGATATTTTACTAACCGACAGACAGAGTTGACTCCAACATGTAATGGCAACACTTTCAATAAACATCTTGAGCAAATAGTTTGTGTTCACGTTATATGTTAGGGGTCAGTCTCAGCTTTGACCAAACCAAATTTGACTGTTGTAGCCATTTTTTGTGTTTACTAAGGTCAATGGGCTGTGGCAGCCATCTTGAATCAGGTTGATTCCAGAAGATAATCCGCTGTAGAGGTACATTTAATGATTAGCGTCTGCAGCTTTCATTAAAACTGGCCCAATGGTTCATGAGATATTTTGCTAAAAGAAAAATCCTTTCAACATCCTTTCCTTTCAACATTTGTGAGGTTTTAGATGTGAACACAACTCAATATGTAACCAGGAGATCCAAACACAAAGCTGATGTGAAGACAGCTCACTCCACCGCTTTATACCATACTTTCTGCCGTACACGTCACCTCGCCGCATAAGTCGCATCAGCCCAAATATGTCTAATAAAGTGGGAAAAAACATAAATATGTCACCTCGCCGTATCAGTCGCATCTACTATACGTCACCTCTAACCACCTGGAAATGTGGGTCGATGTGCCAAAAATCGATTGGCTGTCCAATGGCGGCCGCAGGAGCGTGCACAGGAGGACTTTAACAAGAATTTAACAAGATTGACACTTAAAAACAATTATTTGTTTGCTCGACATTATAGTAAAGTTGTGTCTCAGTTGAACTTTTCCTTAATAAATGCACTTTAATGGTCAAATCAGCTGCATTTCGCCTGGGAACGCAGCGAAATGCAGCTGATTTGACGTTTGCTCCAGGAGTTCCAGAGCGAGACGAAGGTGGCTTTTTATGGCAAGCCAAGTGTCTCATTAATAGCCACTTTTATACCTACTAATGAGACACTTGGCTTGCCATATAATTCGAGCGCCCTCTAGCAGCTGAAAATGATAGTGTTCAATATTTTCCAAGTCAGAATGAATGAAATTGTCAGATCTCAGCCAAAAATTAAGTTATAAATATGGGGGGGGGAAAAAACACAAGCTGTTTCGCTGTATAAGTTGCAGGACGTGCTAATTTATGCAAAAAGGTGCGACTTATACAGCGAAAAGTATGGCGATTAAAGCAGGAAACCTTCTGAAACAAGAAAACACAGCAGTTTGTGTAAAACTGTGACACTAACGGCTCATGTCTTGAGGCAAATGAAGCAGAGCTGGCTGACTCAGAGTAACCTAAATAATTTGGCCTCTTACATAATACCACCGATTTGCTGAAAAAGTAACGTAAACAGCCCAAAGTGCACTCCTTTAATATTAGCCTGAGAGGGATTAGTGTTCTCTTAATAACTCATCCAGAAGCAACGATTTTAAAATATCTGAAAAGATTTGTTTTAACCTTCCTCTACGTCTGCAGGGCAGGGAATTAAAGGAGCTCCGATAAAGGAGCAATTAAAGCAGCAATTAGAACATAAACTCGCTCATTAAGTGCTGCTTATTGGATGTGATGACTCACATGCAGCAGCAGGATCGATGTCTGTTAGACACGGGGACACGTCCAGGACTGCTGCTGATCTCTAACCTGAGCCTCCAGCAGGGGGCAAACATGACTCAAAGGAGGATACGAGTCTGGACTGTGCTGCAACTTGTACTATCTGCCAAACACTGAGTGAATATGAAACAGAGCAATCACTGCTCTCAGTCAGACATGAGAGGCATGTCATTCCTGAAACTTTAGAAACAGGACCTGTTTAACGTCCTTATCTCTACAGGAAGGTTATTTACAGATGGGTGTGGCAGAAAAAGCCTGCTATTGTGGAGCCACATGCTCCGAGAGGCAGTCATTCCAGACACAGAAACCACGTTACAAAAGGCGGAGCGCTGGTGTGAGAAGTTCTCACCGGGACAGGGACGATGCCAGTTTGGGAGACTCCCCGAGGAGCGTGCCAGCTGTGCCACAGAGAGGACTGAGGGGGCTGTTTGTTGTGAAAATTTCACAAAATCTCAATGCCAGATGGACTCAGCAGGTATCTGCATGTGCTGTTAGAGAGAACGAAAGGGGATTGAACTCTGCTGGCAAAGCAGGTCGCAGTGAGCAGGCAGACAGGAGGTGGGAAACAAAACGACACCTGCCTGTCAAAAGGAGGCTCCGAGTGGACAAAACAACTCATGAATAAAGAGAGACTTGTGTTTTCGCTGCTTGGGTGGTTCTGCCAGTTGGATTTGCAACATGTTTGCTTTTATGCTCGTCTCTGGTTCAAACTGAACACAAACACGCATGCACGGAAATACGAGAAAAAGGGGGGTTTTTTTGTTCATCCGTGACACACCACTGAGCATTCGTCACAGTTTTGTGGAAGAGATTTACTCTGAGTTTCTTAAGATAACTTCAGCAGAAAAACACGGATGCTGCAATCACAGCAGCATGATTCACTTCCTGCACATTTTCTGCCTCAGTAATAATCCAAGTCAGTCGAGCATCCCATGATTTTCAGTGTCCCTTTACCTTTATTTGATGGCTGTGGTAGAGATAAAAATAGAAAACACAAGGTGAAACGTTAGCATGAGCGGCATCCATTCTTAAAAACATAAATTTAAAAAAAAGAGACATAGGAAATGAAATATGTTCCTGTAACATGAAGTAATATTTATCCAAAATAGTCAACAGCTGCAAAAAGACACCATTTGGCCACATACTCTGACCCGAGTGCTTTGGATCACCAAGTGTCTCTTTGCCAACGTGACAGCCAGGGCACCGCAGCAATGTGTCGGCCAGCAGCTGATCATATTAACCATGGCTGAGAGGTTCTGTGACTCACTGATGGGGAACAAGCGCAACGCCGAGCTGAGCCTCCTTTGATGTGAGCAATGCTTAGCATGTTATTCACACGGAGCTTTCCCACTGCAGGGCTGAAATATACCCAATACCTTAACATGTCGGGGTGAAAATGTGGTTGTTCAGTTTGATGTTTCTGCATTGAATATATATTACCTCTGTGGCAGACAAATCATAATTATTAGGCCTGGCGAGATAAAAAATAAATCAATTAATCGCATGATAAATGAAAATTATCGGCCTCATTTTCATTTATCGGCTTTATCGTTTCTTTGTGTCTCTCTTTCTACTGAAGACACTGGATGACAAAAGGCTCAACTCGGTGCTCTTCACTGACCCCTCCCTTTCTCTTTAAAATCCATTTTAACCGCCCAAAACTGCGCTTTTGGACCGTTAAAAGCTGAGAAGCTAAGCTACGAGTTAAGCTATCAGGTCAACCTTGGGAACCTTTGTCTTGTTGAAGCTCCAAAATTTGTGTAAAAAGTTGTTTTTCTCTGCAAAAAGAAGATGAGAACTTGTTTACTGATTTCTTATTAAAAGCGTTGTGTGATAAATGCTATGCTAAAGAGCTCAAAACACACCGAGCGTCCGCCATTTGAGAACCGGAAAAAAAGGAAGGAGAGACAGCCCATGTCACGTCAAGGGGCCTCCCTCCCATTTTTTTTTAAAGAGACACGCTGCTCGCTCCCTCGCTATCCATCCTCCGGTGCAAACAGTCTTATATTGCCATCCAGTTGTCAAAAAAGGTACTACACACAAAACAAATTACCAACATTTCTTCTTAAATTTGACAATAATTACTAATTATTGTCAAATTTCAAACAATATTATCGTTTATCGCAATCATTTCTGAGACAATTAATCACCCAGGAAAATTTGTTATCGTGACAGACCTAATAATTACCTAAACTCAAATTGTCCAAATATACTAAAATTTGAGCTAGGTTTTCAAAATATAACTCAACTGTTGATCAAGACCAGGTTGTTGGATTTTGGAGTTTCTGTTGTGCAGAAATAAAATAATCAAATAATAATAAAAGTGTCTGTTATCAGGTTTCCTGACAATCTGCTAACTAGTTTTAAAAGTTTCATAGTGTTTCATACAAATAAACATTTGCATCACTTTCAATTTCAAATTATTAACAATATTTACTCCAGCAGAGAGTGCAGAAATGTCATA